CTAGAATCCTTTTTGAATGTTTTGTTTTTTGGAAAATCCCTCCATGATTACATATTTTTGTTATGACATGACGGACTTTTTCTGTTGACATTTTTGGTATTTTATTTGATTCCAATTTGAGATTTTATCATTGTATATTGTTATTCTTTCTATATTTTGTACTTATATTGAAGTTTTTGTGTTTGCTTCTGATTGTATATATGTTGTTTAAATTTGACCTTTATTATGGCTACAGCCATATTTGGATTGATGCAGTGGCCGCTGGACTTAGCGTCACTTATCTATCGCTGTTTCTGATACTCTTCGGAGTAATTGTATCCTGGAAGGAGCATTAATTCCAGGTAATGCTTTGTATTTCCATGTCTATATTAAATAAGACCGCTTTCTCCTAGAATTTTTGTCCTTTTTTGATTTGTTTGGACCTGGGACTGGGAGAATCGGGTACAGGAGTGCACCCATTGGAACCCATTGGAACAGCCACTGTAGAAATCCATTTACACTTACAAATATGTGATCAGTATGAGAACATCCTGATTTCGAAATTATAAATAAACACTCAAGTGAAAATTGATCATATGTCCTCAGTAGCTTTAAAAAACTTTATTGCATGCGAAATAACCCTAGATCTCCTAAGATTCATGAAAAATGCCGCAAATACCTTCCTAAACTGTACATTAGGCACCTTCCTATCTCTAACCTAAGGCCGTTGAAACCCTTTATTGTGCACAGAAAGCTAGAATTACGAGTAGTGTGCAGAAAACCCATGATGCCAACCTCGTTTGGCATCCGCCTTATGATCCTAGAACCAACGTAGCCGAGCTACCTATTAAAACTCTTGGGTCCCTCCTTCGAAACAAGACCTTGTCCTTTTTTAGCTTTCACCCCCTCAGGGGAGTTGTTTTACCATCTCCAACTGTTAAGGGCGATATTACTGTCTCTTTCAAGCCACCCACTACATAATATGATGTCATGAATAACAATCAGTCTCTGCCGCTAACAAGCTCTTCTAACTGTAGTAGTTTTATGTCTGGTCCCTCTGACCGACCGCATTATACATCTTTCACTGACTTGACCAAGCCGACTCTATCTAACCCAGTGGGCCGGAGAGATGACTCATCCTGATTGTCGTTTGCGACTTACATATCTATTCTTATGAGATCATCGGATGTAGAATCCTTTTTGAATGCTTTGTGTTTTGGAAAATCCCTCCATGTTTACATATTTTTGCTATGACATGACGGACTTTTTCTGTTGACATTTTTGGTATTTTATTTGATTCCAATTTGAGATTTTATCATTGTATATTGTTATTCTTTCTATATTTTGTACTTATATTGAAGCTTTTGTGTTTGCTTCTGAACTGTACATATGTTGTTTAAATTTGATGTAATATGGCTACCGCCACATTTTTGGACGGACGCAGTGGCCGCTGGACTTAGCGTCACTTATTTGTTATTGTGTCGGATACTCTGCGGAGTAACTTTACCCTGGACGAAGTACTATTTCCAGACGTTTTCTCCTAGAATTTTGTCCTTTTTGAATTGGTTGGGACCCGGAGCTGGGAGAAGCGTACAGGAGTGCCTCTATTGGAACCCATTGGGACGGCCACTGTAGAAATACATTTACAGTCTGGATATACTTCTATCCTCGATTATATCCTGGAATTATCGATTACGATTACCGTTGGATTATTAAGAATTATAAAGAAACATTTGGAATTTTAATCGTTTATCACGCTAGACCTTCTTGGAGGAAGAAGTGGGATTATTTATCATATTCCGAAGCTGAACTGTGGAATTACTATATTTTGTATTGTTACTTTTCTTATTGAACCTCATTTATAATGTCAAGCAGGAAGAAATCAAACATGAGGAGGGTGGAAGAGCACGACGGATCACAGGGCTCTAGGTGTTACGGGAGAAACGAAGACATTTTGCTGATTAAAACCTTTATATATATAATCATTAATTTCACTGTTTTTTGGGTATATTTGTTTTACTTAACTTATGAACTTGTTTGAATTATTATTTGCGGACATTTTGGACTCCCGTTTCTCTTTGTTGTTCGTTTGCAGTTTTTTGCTCCAAGAGCTAATAAATTAGAAGGTAATTGTAATTATTATAATTATTGTTGTTAGAACGACATTGGTCGTCTATTTGTAATAAAGTATTTTGGTCGAATTTGTGATTTGGAATAAACTTTGGTATCTACTTTGGAGTTTCGTTCTTGGTTTAGAAATTTGGGACCGTGAATTACAAATAGTCGACAACCGTGCTTCGTAAGATCAACGAGCAAAAAACTGGACGTAACAAAAGTTCTTCTAATTTAAATTTGTCATAAACTGGATTCTTTTGGTCGTTTGGCTCCAGAGGTTCTTCAATTCAAATTTGGTCGTTGGAAACTTTTGGAAATTTGGGTCCAAAAGTTCTTCTTACTTTTAATTTGGTCGTTGGATACTTTGGACTATTCAATTTGGTTCTTTGGTTATAATTTGGATACTTTTGGACATTTTGTTATTATTGGCCGAATACGCTTGGATTAATTTCACATTTGCTTGGTAATCGATTTCGAATAAAAACATACAATGGAAACTAGAAGCAAAAGGCTGAAGGAGCAGGACGAAATGGATGGTAAATTTTCTAAAGCTGTTTGTGGTATGTCTGATGTTAATGATGATAAACTTGATGATATTAGTGTTAATAGTAAGTCTTCCTCTCAGTTTAGTACTTCTAGATTGAAGTTAGATAAGGCATTAATTAAGAAGAAGAATTTGGAAAAGAGACTTGAGTTAGAAAAGCAGCTTAAAATGTTAGAGCTTCAAGAGGAAGTTGATATGGCTGAATTAGAATGTAAGCTCATAGAAAACGATAACCAACTGTCAGTAGACAAAGCTGAGATAAATTCTAAGGTCGAAAGGTATTTGGATTGTGATATTGCGCGTAATAAGGTAATTAACGCCTCAAAATGCGATTGTATTGATGAATTAAAGGACACGTTACGTGCTACGGTTAATAATACAGTTTTGCCTAAAATCGATATGATGTTTTTTGACGGACAACCAAGCCAGTACCACCGTTTTATTAGTCAGTTTACAAGCATTATAGAGAGTAAACTGTCTGACAAGGGCCAGTTGTTGTCATATTTGTCATACTATTGTAAAGGAAAGGCCAGAATGGCTATTGAAGCTTGTATTTCTTTGCCCAGTCACTTGGGTTACGATAGGGCTAAGGAAATTTTGTATGATTTGTTTGGTAAAGAACATCTTGTCGCCCGTAATCTTATTACCGAATTACTTAGCCACAAATCTGTTGAAGGATCCGCCGATAGCCTAACTGACTTCGCAATTAAGTTACGTAATGTATGTATAACATTGAAGGAAATGGGGTATATGTCTGATGTGAATTCCACGGCTAATTTGGAAATAATTGTGTCACGTTTACCCTTGGAATTACAGAATAAATGGGTAGAAGCTGCTGATAGGATTATGATGACCGGTAGAGAGCCGATATTTGAAGAATTAGTGATGTTTGTAGAAGAAAGAGCCAGAATTGCGCGATCACGTTTTGGTAGACTGGTACATTGTAACTCAAGGTTTCGTAAAGGTAATTATGAAGGCCAAGTTGACAAGAGATCACGCTTTAATGTAGTTAAGAGGGAACCAAGCAACTCATTCAAGGCTTTAAGTTGCGAAATTTGTTTTGGTGATCACAAGGAGAAAGACTGTATGAAGTTATCAAAAATGAATGTTACAGAGAGGAGGCAGGAAGTGAGAAAGCGTGGTCTATGTTACTTGTGTTTAAGGAAGGGTCACATAGCCAAGTCGTGTAACTCAGACACAAGGTGTGACGTTGATAATTGCAAGATTCGGCATAATCCATTATTGCATATTGATGCTTCTAACAAACATGTAGTGAATTTTGCTAAGGATTGGAAATTCCCAAAGGTTTGTTTGGGTATCGTTCCGGTTAGACTATATGGCCCCAAAGGATGTCTGGAAACATACGCTCTTCTAGACAATGGTTCAGATACCTCTATTGTATGCGAAGAGTTGGTTAATCGGTTAGGTCTCAAAGGTAAGGAGACTTCAATAAAGTTGACGACTGTGAATGGAACTTCTACTTGT